AGCCGATGTACGGACAGGAATTAATACACTCGCTCTATTAACGCATTACTGTCCGCCATTGTTCCTAAAGATCACTGAAACCTAGAAAATCTTGACCCTTCGTGCACGAAAGTATCTCTTTCCCCATTAGAAAACAGCAATTTGAAGATTTTCTGATGATTCGATGACTCGACAACAGATCTTCATGTAAAATCAACATGTGCATTTCTGAATGATGTTTAAATAATTTCATTTGAATTAAAATATGCTTTGTGTTGTATTTAGAAGCTTCCTATTGTCTTCTAGGTTACTTGTGTGCAACATTTAATCGTGTGTGATGTAATTATGAATTATTATATAATTGAATATTGCGTAATAACAGGGTTTCGAATGTTATTAATAACATATAATAATAATTAGATTTTTAGACCAATCTAATGATTTAAAAACGAAGGTTGAGTGGAGATTGATTTCTATTAAAAGTTTGTATAAAATGAAAATAGTGTATCTTGTTATAAATGAAACTCTTCGTTGGTTAATCTTACTTTTTACGAATAATGCAAATGGGAATTATAGGTCAATTAAATGGCAGACTTTAATAATGCTTTCAATATTCGATTACAATGTTTTATACTGCAATTATTTGATCGGAATACATCTCATATGATTTCACATCACAATTGTTCGATTACAACGTTTTATATTGAAATTTAATATTCAAGGTTCATCATTCGCAATTAAATCACTAACTAATTTCTGTTATCCCCGTTGTTTGTCACGTTCTGAGGTCCCGTCGTACGAAAACAAGTTGAAGTAAGGATTAACTAGCCAAATAACGTGATGGTATCACTCCAACAGACCTTTCTCGGGCCAACATTTTTTAATTATACAGTTATTAATAGATTCTACGCGGCTAACAGCCAATTACACGCACGCGATGAGAAGCTAAGCTGAATAATACGATCCGTAGTGATAACTTTCTCTACTTTCGTGTAAAAATTACAGCATCGGGGGAAGAATTCGCTAATAACATCGGCCTACACGTAGACGTTGGCGAAATGTTGGCTATACTTTTAATTGCCGCCGGAAAATAATTTATTTACCCGTAGCCAGGCACGGTCATAAATAACATCCGCTTTTCTTTTTTAAATACATTATTTTCGAGGCCGTTTTAAAATAAACTTTAATCCATAATACATACTCCGACATTATTAGAACAAACAATCACTATTTACAAGTATTTTTATCGCCACTATTTTCTAATCGTTGCTCAATCATCATCTGCGGCCTTGATCTTCTTCGAATTCCTTCAAGTCACCCCAAAATTCTTCTACGATCTCCCCCTGAACGAAATTTATCAGTTCACGCTGTTGCAACCTTACATTCCAAGGAAACTTGATATCAAATTAGAAATTCCAATTAAACATATAACGATAAAAATATTAACGTACAAAGTGAATTATTTAAAATTGACCCTCGTAATCAATATAAAATTTCGACGAATTTCAATGAAATAAATTTAGACGAAGTACATGTATAACACTACGATCACAACAGTACTATCAAATAATAAAATTATTCAATCAAAATTATTCAATTAAATGAAATTATAATTATATCGTTTTCAGCTATATAATTTTAATTATACCATTGTCATCTGTACCATTGTAATTCTAGGACTTTAATTATCGAATTCTCTTTATATAATTTCTTTCCAAGTATTTCCTTTCAAAAGAACGAAGGTTTATCAAACTTTCCGAATCGAATGGTAGCGGAACGCGAAGGTATCGGAAAGTTCGCATCGGGGCACAGTAAAAAGCGACAGTACAGTGAGATTGCCACTGAGAAGTCGCGGGCAGTAATAAGATTTCGTTTCTCCCGTCGTTTTTCTTCTTTCTCTGTTTTTTTTTTCGAGTATCCCCG